CAACCCCTGGATCTGGACTCATCCCTGTGGGGAGTTCCAAAAGGTCAGGATTTCCTTCCTCTGGAAAACCAGGAATTTTTAACCAGGTTGCTCTAATATATGATTAAGTCCTCCAGGCACTATCACTAAAACTCTCTTAGGAAGGAACGAACATTCTAGACAGAAGGTTCAGGATGTTCTGTCCACTAGTAGAGGCAGCCTCAGCCACATAACAGTGATTAAAAATCTTCCCTTGAAGTACTGATATGTGAAACAATGTGGATGAACATTTTCTCACTCACCAATGAGAAAAGACAGGCGTGAAAGGTCACCAATTGTATGATTCGAGCTATATGAAATATCCAAAATAGGTAAGTCCAGCAATGATGGAGGGGGAAGGAATGGGAAGTGTGGGATTGATATACAAGGAGTTTGGAACTAGACAGAGAAGGTGGTTGTACACCACTGTGAATGTACCAACTGCTTCGGGATTATTCATTTAAACATGGTTCATTTTATGACAATTTCACCTCAAATAAAATGAGATAAAACTCTCTCTCCCTCCCTCCCCACTCTTCTCCTGGGAGCAATCCATTAAAGTAAAATTAACCTTTTATTCTAGGGGCCTTAATTTTTGAGTAAAAATTTGAGTGTGGGAGGCTAACAAAGGAGCACATGGGTTATCCCCAGTTCCTGTACAGCAGAATCCAGGTGAAGAAGCAATAATTTTTACCACCAAATCTATAGTCCATTTGTAACCAAGTTCCTACTTCCTGTGCCACATTTGTGTCCCCCCAAAAGCTCCTAGGTTCTCAAGGCAAACTCTTTATTTTTTTCCAATAACACACATATGATCAGCTAACTCTTCCCCCCATGCTTCCCCAACCAACTAAACGACTGTTTTTATTTTATAATTTTTTTTATTTTGAGAATTTTCAAGCTTGCACAAAGGTGGATATAATAGAATTAACCATAGAACATAATGTATCTGTCACCTAGCTTAAACAGTTATTACCATGCTGCCACTCTTGTTTTCTCTCTCTCTCTCTCTCTCTCTCTCTCTCCTCTCTCCCATTTTTTTAAACTAAAGTATTTCAAAGCAAATCCTAAGCATCAGTACTTTTTCTCTAATGAGTAAGGACATTCTTTAAAATTGCCATGACATTGTTATGTCTAACCAAATGACCAACAATTCACTACCTAATGATAACCAATCCATATTCAAATTCCTTCTATCAAGTAAGTAGCAGAAGCTGGGACTTGAACCCAGGCAGTGGGACACCAGTAGGCTTGAAAATCTGTAACTCATAGAAAGAAGATCCTCACAGAGCTCTACAGGAACTGACAGAAAAGGCAAAAGAAGGAAGAACAGGATGCAAAGAAATGGTAACCAGGGCCAGCAACACCAGACTTGCCAACTACCACGCTCAGCACCTGGCAGCCTCAGCCAGAAGGGGGTTCAAGATGTTTCCTTGTAGGGAACTGACATTCTCCAGGAGAACAAGATTGGAGGCTGCAGAGGGAAACAGGCGGCAGAGGAGACCCCCAGGAGTGCAGCACGAACACTGATGGCAATGGGACCTGGTGGGTCCTGACAATCCCACGAGGACAAAGTGTAAGAATGTACTCACTTGGTTCAGCCAAGCTCTTCAAAAGTTGGCAGAAACCAATAACCAGCAGGGGGCCTTTGTTACCATACAAAGTAAATACTCTAGCCCACATAATACAATTCAAATTATCCCTTTAGGTAACTGGAGGTTTGGGCTGTCTGAGAACAAGGGCCATAGTCACTAACTGCTGATATAATATGCCAGCCTTGGCTATAGTTGGTTTAAATTGTGTAAATAGGCATGAAGAAAAAAACACTAAAAGAACTACAGCTCAGATGGAGGCTTTGCAGCCCTGTCTTTGAATCCCAGGAAAGCAAGCCCAGACAGGCTGGTGTTCCATAATTAACCACAAGAGGCATTTTTCAAGCTCATCCCCTAAATAGTAAAACTTTAATGGAGTTCATCATGATCACTTTGTGGTTATAGGATAAAGCCATATGGCAGCCATGAAAATGAACCCCTTAGATCTCCTGCTAGGGGGAACATAATTGATGACAATCAGCTCAGCTTGCTGCCACTCGGGAGTCCCCATTGTATTCGCTCTTGGGGTGTTCTCAGTCATTGCCTGAGCAGAGTCAGGCTGTTCCTCCAGACCTATTCTGGAAATGAGGAGCTGCTCCAATGGGTAGCTCTGACTTTCCCAACAGCCTGGTTAACCCTTCCTTGGACTGTGCTATGATCTGAGATTCTGCCTACCCAATCCTCTCTCCTTCAGTTATTACAACTTCCCTACAGCCTCACCAGAGGTGGCCCATAAGATAGTGAAGATGGAAAATTCTTCTAGTGGGCAAACTCAAGTGTTGCAACTAATAGGTACACTGGAAAGAAAGGCAGTCTGATGTGAGAATGTATACACATTCCTGAACAGTGGTTCATAGCCTGGTCGATTGGCCAGAAAATGAGCAAGATGGTGTAGAGGATTGTGGATAGACACAGGGGAGTGGGCACAAAGTGTTATTTTTGTCTCACACATTAATGCTCCTCCCCAGGAAGCACTATCATAGAAGAGAACAACCAAGTAGACAAGCTGGCTCAACCAGCCAATGTTAGTTGGTCTTCATGACTGGCCACCTAGAACTAGTAGCAATGGGCACAGGAATGGAGGGAAGTTGCAAGTAGGCCCAACAGTGTGGATTCTTGTAGTTTGGCCATGAGGTGTCCCCAAAGCTCCTGTTAATGCAGGAATATTCAGAAGTAAAATGATTGTATCATGAGAACTGCAACCTAATCAGTCCATCCCAGTTTGAATGGCTGGGTGGTAACTATAGACAAGAGGGGCATGGCTGGAGGTGGATCTCTAGGGAGTGCCCTGAAATGGTGCATCTTCCCTGTGCTCCCTTCTCTCCCCCACTCCTTTCTCTCTTCTTCCTGACTGTGCCAGGAGCTGGGCAGCTTTCCTCCTCTGGGCCCTTCCCCCAAGATGTGCTGCCTCATCTTGGACTCAAAGCAATGGAGCAGGCTGTCTATGAACTGAGACCTCTGAAACCATAGCCCCAAAGAAATTTTTCCTCCTCTAAGTTGTTCTTGTTGGGTATTGTTTAGTCAACTTTTTTTTAGTCACTGTGAACAAGAGACCTGACAAGAACAGTGTAGAGGAGGAAAAATCTTCAGAGGTCTCCATCTATGGATGGCTCTGGGTCTAAGGTGAGGCGGCACATCATGGTGGAAGAGTACGACGGGAGAAAGCAACTCAGAATGTGGCAATCAGAAAGCAGGAATCAGAGAGCTCTGCTCACTGGGTACAAAACATAAACCCAAAAGCATGCCCCCAGTGACCTATCTCCTCTAGCCACACCCTACCTGCCTACAGTTACCACTCAGTTAATCCCCATCAGTGGATTAATCCATTGAGTAGGTTTCCGACTCTCATAATCTAATCACCTCTGAATGTTCTTGCACTGTCTCACACATGAGCTTTTGGGAGATACCTCATATCTCAACCATAAAAGGTACCAACAGCAATGCAAAAGCTAACAAAACAGACTCCCCTGAGTCAAGGCAGGTGCAAATCTTGCTGCCTCTGAACTGCTAACCTAACTACAACAGAGATGGATACTGAGTCCCAATGTGGCCCTGTTTCTTAAGGAGACCAATGGACCCTTCCAGTGGTTTTCCCTTTGCCAGCTGGCCCTGAGGCTTTGCTAGTAGAGGGTTACTAGCAAAAAAAAAAAAAAAAATGATGATTTTGCTCCCACACTGCTGCAGTGCAGGTCACTCCCACACCAGGGCCAGCAACACCAGACTTGCCAACTACCACGCTCAGGTGGCTGCACAGCCTGGGCTTCAGGTGAGACATCTCCTCATGCAGTTTTCCCATAGAAGGTAGATTTCTAGTAAATTCCATCAGCAGCACACTACAGTGAGTTCTCTGCCATCCATGAAGCCACTGCTGTGCTCAATCTACTAGATCTGGGTGTTGGGACCTGGGAGGGCTCTTCTTTGTGCTCCATCTCACCCCTAGTACAGCTGGCTGGTCCTCATGTCTGCTATTCTCATATTCTTCTCATTTCTCTTTACTCCTTTCTAGCCAATCCTGCATGATACTAATCTCTTATTATACTTACTAAATCTTTATTTTAAATGTCCCCCATTCAAATTACAGCATGATATCTGTGCCACTCCTCATGGTACCAGGTTATTTATTCCAGGTGAGTTTACCTTCTCTGCTTATGGAACTCAGTACCACCTCTATCTGGGAGCTTATAAAAGCCTCATCATTCGTGGCCACCACACGCAAGGTGACAAAGCATCCCACCAGGTAACCCACTCCTGGCAAAGGAGATGCCTAACCATGGAACCACTGATTGTATCATATGCCCCACCATCCACAAGCAGCCAGCTTCAATGGTGAATGCAAATTTGACTTCATGAACAAAAGAAACTGAATTGACAGCTACCACAAGGCTTTATTGCTCCAAAAGAATTTGCCATCAGAAAGCAGTCACTGTATAACTCTAGTGTAACAATCATAAGTATACCACAATTTAGATGTATTTCCCAATTATAATTCAATAATAAAACCTGAGAATTCATGATCTAATTATTATTAATTTAAAATTATTTCATTTTTTGAATACCTCTTTTAAAATGAGAATTATTTAATCATGTTCATCTCTTTCTTTAAAAAAGTTAATCACAAGGGCTGGCTAGGGATTTAGCTCAGTGGTAGAGTGGTAGAGTGCTTGCCCAGCATGCCTGAAGTCCTGGGTTCAATTACTAGTACCACCACCACCACCAAAAAAAAAAAGTCATTTGAAAAAAATTAATCATATATTCAAAGACATTGAAATGCACTTATTTCAGGAACAGTTTTTGCTTAGATATAATTAATAATATTTAAAAGATATAATTAATAATATTAAAAAGATATAATTAATAATATTAAAAAGAAGTGATTTTTTTTCCAAACAAATTATAAGTTCTTATAAAGCGCAGATGCACATTCTCAAGATGTTAAGGCACTCAGGAACAAAAGACAGCTGATATTCCTTGGCTTAGAGTTTGGCTTTCTCTTTATAAGACTCCTTTATCCTCTTGACAAGAGAAAGGTCACCAACTCCTTCAGGCCAGTTGTCATGATCTGTTAAGTGGAAAATTCCAAGTTAGCAAAACTTAACCTCCTTTGTCCTCTTAATTCCCACTTAGTCCTCTTCTATTTTCTCTGGGGCATTCATGCAAGAAAACAAAATCTAAGCCCAATGGGAGGCTGAAACAGGAGGACTCTTAGTTCAAAGCCAGCCTCAGCAACAGTGAGGCACTAAGCAACTCAGTGAGACCTATCTCTAAACAAAATAGGGCTGGGGATGCATGTGGCTCAGTGGTTGAGTGCCCCTGAGTTCAATACCCAGTACCCTCGGACAAAAAAAAAAAAAAAGAAAACAAAGTCCAGAGGTTTTACAAAGGGACCTGGATTTGAAGCTCTGGTCTGCCATTCACTAGCATTTCCAAATTTAGGGAAATTACTTTTTTGGAGCCTCAGTCTTATCATCTAACAAAATCTTTTAAAATTGTGAGGGTAAACCTGACACCATCTGTACAGAGCTGGGCATACTGCAGACATTCAACAAGTAGTATCTGCTTAGTAATAATTTTAAAATAATGTGGTAACTGTGCACCAGGTATTAATAATTGCATCCCCAACATCCAGTCCTCATCTCCTTTTTGCAAGAGGCTCTATTTATTAATTTTTTTTAATCCAGAAGGGTCAGAGGAGTGACCCTGCCCTGGTTTGGTGGTGAGGGGTTATAAGTTGTCACTTGGTGCTCCCCATCCCCCTGGCTGTGGATATTGGTTGAGAATGGGCATTTGCTTGAGCTGGTCTAAAACAGAGTGCATCTCAGTATTTTTTAAATTAATTCCAGGACAAAGTCATTCTCTACTCCTTGCTCTCTACCTAGCTAGATATGAACAAAAAGAAGCAGGTGATCTCAGGAGCAGCGGGCAGCCATCCTACCACCAAGAGAGCCAGGTTGAGAGAGCGCTGACCTCATGGAAGCAAAAACAGAGGAAACAGGAGGGGAAAATGTCTTCAATAAGATCACTGAGCTACTTCAGTCAAATCTCATCTGCCGCTGCATTACAACCCCAGCACACAAATTCCATTTAATTTTAGGCCAATTTGAGTCACTTCCTATCTGACACATGCATTTTCTAATTTGATCTTTCCAACAGTCCCCTGAAATAAATACTATGTGTATCATTGCACTGTAGGAAAGAAAAGAGGGGCCTACAGAAATTAATTTCCCCCAAAACTCAACATTTGAGATAAGCGGGGTGAGGTTTCTATCCCAGGGATTTTCACTTCCAAGCTGGCAATCTAAAACCCTGTACTGAAGTCTGAATGCTCCTAGTCAATATGTAGGGCAGCACATTCCTAAAAAGTAGACATAACTACTCTCCTCAAAAATTTAAAGAATATTTTGTATTGATAAAAACAGTATTAGAAGTAAATCATTTTGTGGGAGACTTAGAGAAGCAACCACCTTGGTATTTCTTTCCCCCTCTAAAAGAAAAACAATGCAACTCACCCTAACAAATACTGACTCAGGTCTACCAAAGAGGGAAAGGGAAAGGTTCTCAACTACTCTCACTATTTTAAATACTTTCAAAACAATGAGGCATAGCCATGCAGGCATTTTTGTCTTATGTCCTCAGAACCATAGTATCTTACACATATTACCATGCACATCTTTTAGTAAAGAAATATATAAGGGAGGGGACAATAATTAGTAAAATTAAAGTTCTAAGGTAACCGTTAATTAATGTATAAGAAATCTTATGCTTGGACTAGAATAATAGTAAGAGTAAGTTGAACCTGGGACCCTGATATGAAATTTAAACTCGAAGGGGTTGTATTAACCACACCTTAAGTAGCTTGTAGCCACTTAGTCAACTATTTTTAGCAACAGAAAGCCAGGTATATTTGCATTTTGTACCTCTTTCTGTGTGTTTTGAGTGATTTATAGTTGTTAGCTTCTGTGGATTTGTTTTGTCATTTGCAAAGTGATGATATTAGACTATCAAATTTCTTAGAAAACTTCTAACCTCAAAGATCTCTGGTCTAGCCATTAAATACGAACAACACATACACACAGACACATCAACATATCCCACACATAAAGACATTTTGTGTAATATCAATATTTGATTACGACTATAAAACACTTCTTTATGTATATCAAAATGACTGAATATAGTAATTATATAACTTCATTTAACATATATCCTAAAGAGAGGGCAAAACAGCACAATACCACTGATTCTTCTGTTCAGATATACAAGCCACTTACTGGAGGAAAAAAGAAGAGTTAAATATATGGCAACCTCTTGATTCTTCTCTATCATTCTTCTCTATCATTCCATTCAGAGGGTTTTTCAAGGGTCAAATTCCATCAACTCATGCACACACAAAAACTTCTTAAATATTTCGAGTTAAGATCTATAATAAATATATCGAGGTATTTTCTGCACCTGGGAACGTAGCCTTGGAAATCATATCCTGAAGATAAGCAGTTTGCACATTTGATGTCCTACAGGAGTAAACCTCTACAACTTAAGTGGCCAACACCCAAACATGAAAAGGCCTACAGCTAGTGGCTATTCATTCCCTAGCTACTCACCTGGTACATTGTATGAGTGTGTGTACAGAGACTGGCCTCCGTCCACACTCACCACCTGTCCAGTGACAAAGGAAGCTCCAGGAGACAGCAGGAAGCACACGATGGAGGAGACCTGGAAACAGAGGCACGTGCACATAAAAGCAGAGTCTCTTTCCATCTCTATGTGCTTCACCTTCCAGAGGAAACTCATCTCAAACCACATAACTGTAATGTAACTCCTACGTGTGTAAGCCACAACCTGCCAGTACCCAGAAAGCTTCCCTTTTCTATTTGAGCATTATTAAAATCAGGTAATCCATCAGAGGAGAGGTAGAGAGACACAAAGGAGCCTTAGAGAGTATCCAGGAGGACACACAAAAAGAAGCCCAAAGTGAACACAGGGCTGCATCTCTGCTTCTTCCTGCTTCCATTTCCCACCACAATCCCCTTTTCCATCACTGACATATGCCTTTTATATTTTGGTCCCTGAAATAGTCAATGAGTCTGTGTAGCAATACACTAGCATTCTGATGTATTCAGTGCATGGTCCTGTCTGGCCCAAAACTCAGCAACAACACAGATAGCACGAGTTTCTAGAAGAGGGACTTCAGAATCCCACTGCATTCCCTAAAATCTTAAGAGTCAATTGATGAGCTCAGCAACATCTACTCTAAAAACTAAAGAGAAAGAAAGAATTTATATCAGTGAGCCTATAGAACCAGAAGCAGTTTCTCAAAAGGTGATGCTCCTAAACACCTAACACTCCTGATTCTCCTTCACTTAAAAGATGATAGCTCATGGATTAACAGGCCAGCCAACAGCCGATGCAAAAGTTCAATCTTCCTACAGGTACAGAACACAATCAGGCCAATACTTTATTCTTTATCTCACTATAGCTACCACAATCTCTCCTTCCCTTCCTTTCTCAACTCTCTTCATTTGTTTCAGAAAACTTCCATCTCTCTTGCCCTAAAATATAACATTATAGGCATTATGTGTTAACATAAATGACATTTCAAGTAAAAACAGGTATAATTTTCAAAATAACAATTTTATACGTTTGTTTGGTATATTTACAAATCTCTTTAATGTCTGGCTCAATAGTAAACAGCTGGATTCTCACTTTTGTTTCTGCATTCATCTGTTGCAATCTGTTGTTTTGATTAAAGCATATGAAGAAAATCTGGCTTCTAGCATATATATAGTTATTTATAGTTGGGAAGGAAGGAACATTTTAAAAGTCTTTTTAGATAACTATAGATTTTCTTTTTTATATTCAATAAATGGTGTTTCTTAAAGATTAGTTGCAATATGGAGTCTGAAACCGTGGCAATGAACTGCTTGTACTCTGTTCTATTAAACGTTTTCTCAGACTTTGGCTCTTTCACCCAGATGTGATTTTGTCCTTTGGGAAATATTGATTCACTGAGTTATGTGTCTTAACTGTGGACACACAATTTATTATATAATATCAAAAGACCACATTTGATATGTCTCCACCCATCTCTTCAGGAAAGTCTTTTAAGTATTTAGAAGCTGGAAAGCCATGGTGACAGGTGCACAGAAATTCTAATTTTCCCTTGAAGTCTTGAATTTTAACCTTGACAACAAATATTCTCAGTCACTTTCTTTTAAAGCGATAGCCCAATTTTGTTTTGAAAAAAATGTCAACATAGTACCCAAGTGTGAATAACTGTAGTATCAGTCATTCTGTCACATAAAATAAYGGTGTTTCATGAAAAAAGTGGTTGACTCCATTCTCAATTCAATTGCCTGTTCTTTTCCTTTGAGGCAGCCATTATACTTCTCTACATAGCAGAAAAGCTTTATGTGTATTGGTATTTCTTATTTCATCACACAAAATATTAAAAGGATGTGTACTCAGTGATTGAGATTTAATGAATTAATATTTTTTACTGCTTCATCAATGATAAGCCAAAGTGAAACTGCCCCTGCAGMGTCCCACTCCTGAGGCCTTCTAGTATCACGACTACTGGTCCAGTATTGTTTGCAGTCAGGATTCATGCTAAGGCTCCAGCTGTCTTTTCCATCACTGCTTTGGTACTGTCAACCCAAATGTCAACACAGTGAAAAAGACAAATCAGCTTTTACTGAAACTAAAATGTTTTAATTTTGCAAATCCCTCCCAAAAGTTTTAGGAACCCCAGGGTTGGGCCCACATACTTTGACAGCTGTGGATATAGGTATAACATGTTTCTATTCATTCTGGTCTTTCCTGTTCTTCATTAAAACATTTTGTTTTGTTCTGTTTTGTTTCATTTAGAGCTAAGTTTACTCCAAGGTATTTTAGTTTTTATTATTACTGTGGAAAAGGAACCCTTCCTTTGAAAAACTACAGTTTAAGATTATAATGCTGTGGGAAGAAGATTGTCTCTAGATAGGGAAGAGGGGTGGGAGGGAAAGGGAGGGAGAAGGGGAATTGCATGGATGGTGGAAGGAGACCCTCATTGTTGTACAAAATACATGTATGAAGATGTGAAAAAAAAAGAAAGAATTTCTTTCCTTTTCATGAAAAAGAAGACTCAAACTCATAATAGAATGCATGTTTAGGCATTATGTTCATAGGCTTTTTTTTCTTACTTTTGCTTCATTTTGTTTGGGTTTGTTTTTTTTAGCACCTAATATATGTTTGTTTTCATATCATCAAAATTATTTCACCTCTATCCAAGAAATGCTATCATATAAATTAGTGAAAATTTTGGAAGCTAGAGAGGAAAAAGGAAAAGAAAAGTGGGGGAAATCTCAATAAAATCAACAGGAAATCAGTAGAATAGAGGAAAGGGACCAAAGGGAGGGAGGACAGGAAGGAAAGGGGAAGTACTTCAAAATGATATTGGCCAAATTATATTGTTGTATTGTGTGCATGTATGAATATGTAACCACAAACCTCACCATTATGTACCATTATGTAATTATGTGCATTACACAATTACAATGCACCAATAAAATATGAGAAAAAAAGATTACAATGTTAGCATTTGAGAAAGCTATGGATTTTYACATACTCCAGTTGAATTAACATACTGAAATCTCATATGGGAATTTCATAAAGCCCTAACCATCAGACTCTCATAGGGTTCTGTGTACTCACAAATACCATGTGATAAAATGTTGTAGCTGAAAAACACTGAAACAAGGAGAACACGCTGCTCTTCATTTACCCTACACTCATTCCTCTGTAAAGGCTGTTATCAAGGGGCTGGGGATGTGGCTCAAGTGGTAGCATGCTCGCCAGGCGTGCTTGCGGCCCGGGTTCGATCCTCAGCACCACATACAAACAAAGATGTTGTGTCCACCGAATACTAAAAAATAAATATTAAAAAATTCTCTCTCTCTCTCTCTCTCTCTCTCTCTCTCAATAAAAAAAAAAAAGAAAGGCTGTTATCAATAGTCAAAACACAGCCAGATATTCCCAAGATCCAGAGAGCGCAGGAGAAATGGTCGGTGGCAGTGAGAAAAACAATCTCCATCAGGCAACTAGCCCACCTCAACAGGACACCATGTGCTATGTATAAGCCATAGTCACTCTGATGGATGCTAGAAATACACATTACCTCCTCAGGAACTCCCATTCGTTTAGCTGGAATATTCTGGAAGGACCTTGCAAACATGCTTTGTCCATTATCACCATAGTTGTCAGCAGCAGTCTGGGAAAAGATCACTCCCTGTGTTTAAACATAAAAGAGGAATAAAAGAATATAAAATTAAATTTTAATCGTAAAGACATCAAAGCAGTCTAACAATCAATACCAAAAATTACATGGCTTAAGTTTACTAGAAAAGTGAACATTTCTAATCTTTAATTTTTCCCAATACTGTCAAAGAGGTATAGCTGACCACTGTCCACAGATGCACCACCTGTGTGCTCATCTGTGACCTCTTCTCCCTTAAAAACCAGCCAATCCCTGGATTTTTTCCATAGGAGTATTGGTTTCYGAAGAGCATAATTATATAAGAATAGTGAGGCATTTAAGTGGGAACAACAGGTCAGGGCAYTCTTTCAACTTTATCTTCCACTAGGCAGCTCGGCTTCAGGAGGGAAGATTAGGCAATGCCTACATGAGACTTAGAAATAAACATTTTCCTTTTCACCTAGTGTGAAATAAAGTAACAAAACATTTGAATCCAAAATAAATAAACTACAACTTTAATTGTTTCAGAATACTTCCATCTCTCTTGCCCTAGCTTTTCAAGGGCATATGGCCAGGACAATTACTTGAAAACTGTACATCACAGGATAACGCTATTTGCTCTAGATTCTAGCTAGAGGTCACGGGGAGAAGGAGAAGAAAGATGAAATTTCTTCAGTATGAATCACTCTAAATGATACTAGGGAGATATTTTGGTTTCCAATCAAGTGATGTAGAACATTTTATTTAAAGAAGATGAAATATTTTAGAAGTACTAAATTTTAGATATTAAACCTAAAAAAAAAAAATCTCTAAAGGATAAACAGAATTAACATTGTGCTTTTCACACTGAATACCATTGAAGACTTTTTAGAAACCAGTATTTCACAATATCAACATTAAGAATGGCACTATAGAGCTGTGACTGTGGCTCAGAGGTAGAGCGCTCGCCAAGCATGCATGAGGCACTGGGTTCAATTCTCAGCACCAGATAAAGTAAAATAAATACACTGTGCCACGTATAACTAAAAAAATAAATATTAAAAAAAGAATGGCACTGTAAATAATTTGTGCTATAAATATCTGAGTGTATTATGGATTAGGTAATATACTTGTGGAACACTAAAGCAATCTGAGGTTCTGGCTAGAGCTTGCAATTTTGTTAGAGAGAAAGTTTCTCTACTAACTTCAACAAGTCAGTTCATACTTAACTTCTACCGAATAGCAAACTAGATCTATAGATAATATCCAAAGGTATTATAGTGTTTCAGATGGAGAGATTACTACTATCTTAGCAATGACCAGAAAACATCATAGAAAAAGTAGAATTTAAGCCAAGTTGTACAGGATGAATGAGATATTTCATCTCATGTCTCTCTTGGAATCCATGGCCAATATATAATACCAAGGAGGCTTAGCTGTAGCTTATTTCATAAAAATGAGCTTTTGAAGTTGACTATAAGTATATTATAAATTTCCCCATCATTTACATTATGATTCAGAGAAATTTTCTCTTGACTTCTAATTGATCTTTTCTTTTTTTTTTCTGATTTGATAGCTCCTTTCCAGAACCCTGACATCATGTCCTCTCCTAATAATTAATGATAAGCCAAAACAATAACAAAATTATCTAGAAAAATTTATTCTTCAAAGCAGTGTTTCTTGACTTTCACTATGAATATAAATTTTCTAGGCTGCTTTATAAAATGCAGATTCCTGGATTCCATGATTTGGAGTAAAGTTCAAACGTCAACAATATCGTTTAACATTTTGCAAATAGTTATAAAACACACTGAGAATCACCCACTGAATTTAACCTTGTTGACAAACTGATTGTCAATCAAAGACTACTTCTGTGATGCAACTTTGAGATTTTAATCTATCTTTTAAGTYAATCTTTTATAGTACACTTGTATATTTGTTACCTATATACCAAGCTAGATTGTTTGTTACCAACAATACAACTTAACAACAACACAAATGGCATCTTTAGAGCACAATTTGTCAACAGATTCATATACAGCATTTACCTACCGGAGCAACACAATTGATCCTTACTCCACTGCTGGCCCATTCCATAGCTAAGGATTTGGTGAGATTGTAAACACCTTCTCTCGCAGCTCCACTGTGCCTTTAAGGACAAAAGATAAGCATTGCAATGAACTTTTGTTGAATATATTCTTCTTAATTAAGGTTGTCAGGTGTACCAATGACCAGGCAAAACTCTCCATGAACAATCTCATTATGAGTCTCTGTATTGAGTTTCTGCTAGACAATGGGGAAAGAACTGGCTATTTATGTAATAAAGAGAGACTAATTTTGGCTCTTGTTCTGGAGGTTCAAGTCCAAGATAGGGCAGCTAATTTATTAAGGTGTTTGGCAAGGGAGGCATATGGTGCCGTTTTTGGAGCAAGTATCACATCTCAAGCCAGAAAGCAGAACGACAGAGAAAGAGCCCAGGGTCCCACAGTCCTTTCTGAGAGCATGCTCTCAATAAGTTAAGAATCTTCCACTCAGCTTCACCTCTTAAAGGTTAACAGCACCTCCCAATATCACTGCCATGGGGGCCAACCCTTTACATATGGACCTTTGAAGGACCCTTGTCCAAACAATAGCATTAGAAAAGGGTTGAACAAATTATATTTCATGCTTTACAGAGTGGCATTACATTAGATCACCATAAAAAATAAGAAGGAAACTCTTTAGATGCTGGTACAAATACATCCCCAACATATGTTGTGCATTTGARAACAGCAAGATACAGAATAGTGTTTCTAGTATATCACAACTTTTACTTATAAACAGGGAAAAGAAATGCTCAAAAACTAATATTAGTACTTGCCTGGGTGAATGAGAAATGCCTGAAAGAACTGATTTTATTTCTTGTAAGACCCAAGGAAGGTAAACAAGTAAGAAAGGGTAATAGGCCGGAAAAGGAACTACAATGGCATAATTTGCCTGCATTCTATACTCTTTTTGGGTAAGGTGATGTTAATTCCCACCCCTTGGCCATACTCAGTCCATGTCCATGTGGTGTTGACCCCAGTTCCTCAGACCTTGGGATGACCATGCATGGAAGAGCCACAGGATTTTGTTGATGGCTGCACTCGTGACCCAAGCAGTGTCAGTGTTATGCTTTGAATAGGAGGTGTCCCCCAAGAGCTCCTGTGTTAATACGGGAATATTCAGAGGTGAAATGATGGGATTGTGAGACCTATAACCTAATCGGCCCGTCCTAGTTCCAATGAACTAATGGGGTGAAAACTGTAGGCAAGTGGGGCATGACTGAAAGAGGTGAGTCACTGGAGGCTGACCCTGGAAGGGGTCATCCTCGCTGAGGCCCCTTCCCCATCCCTGCTTCCAGACCCCACCATGAGATGAGTCATGCTCCTCTGCCACACCTTTCTGCCATGTGCTCTGCCTCATCTTGGGCCCAGAGCAATGGACTGGCCAATCATAGACTAAACCTCTGGAACTGTGAGCCAAAATAATCTTTTCTTCCTCTAAGTTGTTCTTGTCAGTCTTTTGGTAACAGCAATGCAAAGCTAACTCACACAGTCAGCTAATGGGAATCATCTCTAGGACTTGCTGGTACTGGCAGTGTTAGAATTCTCTTTCTCAGCACTATTTGAGAAGCACTCTSTCACTGGAGAGTTAGGAAGAGCAGGAATGTTGACCTCTGCCTCCTGTCAGTATTCTTTTTTTTGCCACACGTAGGCCTGCTTGGAATGAAACAAAGCTAAAAGGAGGGCACCTTCCTGCCAACATCATGTCTGAACCTACAGCGTCGCTAGTTCAGAGACCAGCATCCCACAGGATGCAGAGCTTGCTCTCAGAGCTTCTGATAAAGCACATGTGAAGAATGCACAGTTCTGACAAGTTCTCACCTGAGGCTGACACTGCTGTTCCAGAAACCACATTTGGAGAATCACTAATCTAGCTTGAATTATATTTCTATCCCATACAATTGAAGGGAGTCCTGAATAATACAGGAAGCAAATAGGGCATCAGAATTTTCATAAAGGAAACAAACTATCTACTTGTAGAGTGGCTAATTAAAAGTTTAAACTCTTAGAAACTTTTAGGGGAAAAAATCTGGGTTTTTGTTAGGAATAACAATTTAGCAATTCTGTCTAAAATTAAATAGGTATATTCATGGTATTCAGATCTAAGTTAACACAGATCAGTTCAGTTTCATGTCTACACCTTAACACAGAAGCTGTCCTCCATCAGTGATGGGTAGTTTAGTAACATTTGGATTACAGTTGCCAGGTAAAATGCAGGACACCCAGTTAAATGTGAATTTCAGATAAATAACAAATAATTCTTCAATTCATGTACTTAAAACACATTTATTAAAAAAAAAAATTATTTAGCTGGGCATCCTGGTTTTCCTTCTCTTTCAGTAAACATGGCAACCCTAATCTGAATGGGCATGCTTTAGAAGTACATTTTAAAACTTCAAATAAAATGAAATGCTAAGTATTGTTGTCACAACTCATTGAAGGCATTAATCATCTTGATTGAGGGTATTTTTCCCTACCCCACTCTATCAACCCCATTCAGAGGACAAAACCCAAAGACACGGGAAGATAAAATGTAAAAATGCTTACGCAGCAAGTGGAAATCCATTTTTAATAAGGACAATGATATTAACAATAGATCCTCCGTGCTCTTTCATCCAGAGTTTGTAAACTACAGAAAACAAACAACAATCATCTTAAACAGTGTCCTCTTTCCAGATATCTTGTTCCAGCATGCTGCTTACTGGATATGCTTTCCAATTTAATTTATATTTYTTCTTTCAAAAAGCCTGATCACAGTACAATTTACATATCCTAAAATTCACCCACTTTATATATACAGTTTAATAATTTTAAGCAAATATACAAATTACACAATCATCACCACAATTCTGTTTTGAACATTTAAATCACCCCAAAAAGTTCCTTTGTACCTATTTGAAGCCAAATTCATCCCTAGGTAGACTTATCCTTTGTTTTTATAGAGCAACAAATTTTGCATTAACCTTTTCTGAACATTTCATATAAATTGAATCATGCAATATATTGAGGTCTTTTGGATCTGGCTTCTTCTACTTAGAATAATGTCTGTGAGGTTCGTCCACATTGCAATGTGTGAATAGTTCCTTCTTACTGCTGAGTAGTATTCCATTGTATAGATATGCTACATTTGTCCATTCATTAATCACTGATAAACATTTGGATTCTTTCCACTTTGGGGTGATTATGAATAAAAATCTTTGTGTGGACATGTTATTTTCCTTGGATAGATACTTGTAAGTAAAATTATAGGGTCATATGACATCTCTATATTTAAATTTTTAAATCCTTTTTTGGTGCTRAGGATTGAACCCAGGGCCTTGTACATGCAAGGCAAGCACTCTACAACTGTGCTATATCCCCAACCCTTATGTTTAACTTTTTAAAAACAAACTATTTTCCAAAGTGGGTCCACCACTTTACATTCCTATCAGAAATACAGAGGGATTTAGTTTTTCCACACTTCCATTGTCCGACTTTTTGATTATATCTATTCTAGTGGGTATACAGTGGTAAAATATGGATTTTCCTAATGACTAATGAGGTTGATCTACACATCTATGTCAGCATGTCAGCATGACAGCACCTTAAAATCAAGAAGTAGCTTTGAAATCAATARGTGTAATCCCAAAATTGGTTTGGCTATTATGGGTCCTTTTCATTTCCATATATATTTTAGGATAAGCTTTTCAATTTCTACAAACATTGATAGGAATTCACTGAATCTATAGATCCATTTGGGGAAAACTATCATCTTAACGATATTGAATCTTGGGGCTGGGGATATAGCTCACTTGGTAGAGTTCTTATCTCACATGCACAAGACCCTGGGTTCAATCCCCAGCACTACAGAAAAACAAAACAACAACAACAAAAAAACAATATCGGATCTTTCAACTCATTAATATGGAATGTCCTTACATTGCTTAAATCTTCTTTAATTTATCAGMAATGTTTTATAGTTTTTGACATACAAGGATGATACTCCTTTTGCTAACTTCATTCTTAAATAATTTATTTTTTGAGGCCCCATTTGATATCAAAGCACTCATTCTATTCACACAAAACAAGACAATGCTAGAAGTATCTCCAGACTCTCTTCAACAGAAATAGGAATTTTAAGAATTTAAATATCAGAGAAAAATGATACCCAATTCTTCCTAAAGCTTTAGCAAAAATAAGAATGCCTTGCCATTACTTAATCAGACTAACTTTTAAAAATGACCAAAAAAAAAAAAAAAAATGAAGGTGAAACCCTAGTAAGGAAGATACAAACTATAACGTACTTAAATTTTAGACACTTTTTTTCACATTATTTGCACATTGCTAAAATCAGGATATCTTTATAATTAATGACATCTTATAATTATCAGTATTTTTCACTTTTTCAATAACATAGAATGGTGGGACATTTCATAAGTGATTATACCTTTGACTTAATAAAACACAGTGGTTATTTTTAGACAATATGCTATAATCCTAGAATACCTAAGGGATAATTCAACAAATCATTAGATAAAGCTGCAAATCATCAGATAAAGCTACAAGATGAGCCTGAAAAAAATACTTAATAAACCAACAATCACTCAGCTGAAAAATAATTGGAATGAGCTGATTCAAAATAGCAATATCAAAAAAAATCTAAGTATAATCATTAATTTTAAAATGTGAAATCTATATGACAAAAACCACAAATCTTTGCCAAAAGATAGAAAAGAATGATTCATTAGTGAAAAGATAAGTTATGATGGGGAAACTTAATATGTAAATATTGTAATTATTTTCAAATTATTAAGTTTAACAACATTCAATCAAACTCCCAACATGATTTCTGTGGAAGAAACCTGACTATAAAATTCATCTAAAAGAATGCATAGTCACGAAGAGCCAAGAAAAGTTTGAAAATTCAAAGAAACAAAGCAACATTTGCCAAATCAAATGTTAAAAACTATATAAAACCATTTTATAATAGTATAAGAAAGGAGAATAAGTTTATTTAAATTACCCTACATGGATTTTCTGCTTCAGGATAAATACCATTATATAGTTTACAACTCTAAAATCATTTTTGTTTCTGAAATTCTGACACTTTCTAGAGTTCAGATGTGGGTATTTCTTCAAGTTATCTGAGACAGACAACCAATAGAAGATACAGATACCAAGAACAAATGTAAAAGAAGAAAGGCAAAGGTACAAGAAGAATGTTTCCTAAAACATGGAAGATTTATAAGCAACTACCAACATGAGAAGAAATCACAGTAATTGTAATATAAAATGATTTGGAGAAAGCTAGAATGTTGTTTCTTAATATCCAAATTAGAGAACAAACCCCATAGTCTAAATGGATTAAGTGTTCTTTTTTCTTTTTTTCCAATTTTCTTTTATGGTTGTAAAATACTCATAATATAAAATTTACCATCTTAACCATTTTGAGTTTACAGTTCAGAGTATTAAGTACATTCATGATATTGTGCATACATAGCCACCAACCATTTCCAGAACTTATTTCATCTTGCAAAATGGCAACTCCATGCTCATTAAATAATAATTTTCCATTCCCCTATTCCCAGACCCTGACAACCACCATTCTACTTTACAGATCAAGAGTTCTCTTAGAAGAGTTGAAAGTATTGGTGTTTGATGGGTTTTAAAGCAGCATAATGTATACAATGGAGAGTACATGTGGATTTGAAAGACTAGAGTCTAAGGCTTGCTTTGAGGTGATAGTGGGTTAGTTGGACTAAACCTATGCTAGATATGATACTTTATATTCTACCTACATCAAGGAGGCACTATRAGTGTCAAAGGAGATAACCATTGTAAAAATTACTTCTGCAAACTTCAATAAAACTTTAAGAAAATTAAAATACTTTCAAGAGTTGACAATTTAAGAATATCTCTCAGGAAACTTGTATAAAACTGACTTTTCTATTGTTAAAATAAGGTCATAGGAAATAATCTTTATATGCTTATTCTCAAGATAAGAATAAAATAAAACAAAAACCCTGTTTTTGTGCAGAAAAGATACAAACATGGAATGGGAAAAAGTGAGGAAGGACTTGGATTTGAATTGAGATATCAAGATGAACTCATTATTTTCCTTAATATACTATAAAAATGCCAAATATAAAGAGAAAGAGACAGAATGACAATGTAAAGCCCAGAGGTACTTTAAAGATTAGCTACATTCCCAGACCTTTTTATTTTTTATTTTGAGACAGAGGTTCACTAMGTTGCTGAAGCTGGCCTGGAACGTCAATGCTTCTGCTTCAGCCTTCTGAATCACTGGGATTAGAGGTGTGCACCACCGTGCCTGGCTCATAGCTAATCTTGTTTGATCTACACTCCCATTCATTTGTCTACTTCTCAGCTAATTTTGGAAGCCAATTCTAGATATCTTATTATTTCATCTATRAATATTTATCTTTGAATTAGAGGAACCTTTTTGGCAATATAATCTCAATACTTAATTAAAAGTACTTAATTAGCGATAACTTCTAAACATCATGAAATATCCATTCAGTGTGTACATTTCTCTGAATGTGTAATCATTTCTTAACAGTGTGTCTGCAGGAATCAAGTTGCAAATAAAGCCCATATATCACATTAGTTGATATGTCTCCTCTTCTCCTCCAGTGTCCCCTTCACCTCCTCCCCTTCCATACTTGTAGTTTTTTGGTTAAAGTAGCTGGGTTGTATTACAATTCTTTATAGTCTGGATTTTGCCAACCACACTCTATATTATCATTCAGTATGAATCCTGTCCCCCATATTTCCTGCAAAATGGTAGATTCTATTTTGATGTCAATAAATAGATAATGACTTAATTTTAAAAATCATCAACTTATAACCTCCAAATTAGAAATGAACTCTAACAAGGATCAAAAATGGCATTAAAACTCATTGGGTAAAGGGTCATGGTGGTATATGCCTATGATACCAGCAGCTCAGGAGGCTGAGACAGGAGGATCACTAGTACAAAACCAACCTCAGCAATGGCAAGGTGCTAAGCAACTCAGTGAGACCCTGTCACTAAATAAAATAAAAAATAGGGCTGGGGATGTGGCTCCGTGGTTGAAGATCTAATAGTCAAGATCTTAAATAAGCGATCAAATTCAGTTAGGATGAACAACAGCAAACTACAGCCCTCCAGATGTAATGTAATAAGAAGTAGATAGGTCATACATATTGGGTTCTTTCCAGAAATCTTTAAAATGAATCTAATCAGCGCAAGAACAGTAACAGAAATCCAGAACATGGGACATTCTATAAATCAATGTTGTAAAATAAAAAACAAAAAGAGCATTTTTATTTGTTTTTAGATTAGAGGAAACTAAACAGACAAAAAAAATCTATGAAGTTTTATATGATCCTAGATAAAAATGAATGGGGAATACATGTTCATGGTATGAGGCTTCTGAGCCCCTACAGGTTTCTCTTTCAGCCTTCTCCATGATCTCTCTCTCCATAAGAACAGATATTGCAGATATTGATGACACTCACCTGCTTTGCACATGTAAAAGGTGCCTGTCAAGTTGGTTTCAATCACAGCATGCCATCCCTTTGAATTGATATCTTCAAAAGGAGACAGGAACTGGCCTCCTCCATTGTTTACCAAGAAATTGATCTTACCATAAACAGCTAAGGTAGATTTGATCAAATTATCCACCTAAAGAAAAACATTAAAATTTCAGTAACCTAACTTGCTATTTGGACTGCTCATTTATTCTAGAAGTGTGGCAGAGCTTACACTCTCTGACAGTGAACACCAACTCTGAGTACTATAACCAATGAACTTTTGGTCAGCAATGAGCAAACATAAAATTCCTACCTCAATGAGTAGTTTGCCAGTGTCCAATACTCACATATCATAAAATTAAAATCATAATTTTGACAAGATACACCTAAAAGTCTGTATCAATTCTAAGTATATCAGGTCTCAGGCATATTAATTTGTGACCTTCCAATCATGAATAAGGAACAGTGATGAAATCAGGTCAAAATGAACATTAACAAACGTCTTACGCAAAGTGTGGTGGCACACGCCTGTAATCCCAGCAGTTTGGGAGGCGGAAACAGGAGGATTGTGAGTGCAAAACCAGCCTCAGCAAAAGTGAGGTACTAAGAAACACAGTGAGACCCCATCTCTACATAAAATACAAAATAGAACTGCAGATGTGGCTCAAACCCCTGGGTTCAATCCCCAGTCCAAAACAAATATTAAAAAAAAAAAAAAGAAACGCCATAAAGGACAAGAGGCCCTTTAACACATCCTTGCTTAGCTACCCTGTCTTGMTTTCTTCCATCCCCTTCTCTTGAGTCACTGGTTCAATAAATCATCGGCCCAAAAATCTTCTTACAGGCTCTGTTAGCCCTTTCTGAGATAGCTACCACAGTAGAGCGGGAAGCACAGCCAGGTTTAGGCATCACAAATGCTAATGAAAATTAGTAGATATATTTGCACTGACTTATTTGCATTTATACATTAGTAGATATATTTGCATTACCTCCTCTTCTTTACGGATGTTGCATTGCAGGGGAGTGACCTGAGCCTGGCTGGAGGGAGGTAGGGTGGATTTCAGTTCCTCTGCAGCAGATTTTAGTCTTTCGATTTTCCGGGATGCAATGACCACATTACACCCTTAGGAACAAATAGGCAGAGAACAAATACAGAAGTTTTCATGAGTTGTCAAATTCCAACAATAATAATGTACAGAAGACATTTTGTGTGCTGTGTTCCTTTAAACAACAAAAACAAACAAACAAAACCTAATCAGAATGTCTTCTCTGGACAAGATGGAAGAGTAGAAAACTGAAATTCTCTTTAACCTGAAACACAAAACTGGATAAAATATATGAAACAATGGTTTTCAGGCACTGGACATCAAAAAAGCACTGGACTACAAATTGTCATCTCTGAGAGCAGAAACAAACATGTGAGCTCTATGATTATGCCAGCTTATCACCTGGAGAAAACTTCCAGACCACAGCACAGGAGGGACTCATTCACAGGTCAGAGTTCTCCCTGAGTGGAAGGATGAAGTTGGAAGTCTAAGAAGTCCTAGCAGCTGGTTATACAGGGTGTAGAGAGACAAGAGACACCAAAATCTGCAGAGTCCTTCTTCTTTTTTTTTTTTTTTATTTAAACCTGCTTCACTTTATTGGAACTAGCTCCATTGATTACAGAATGGGATTACAGCAGAGTCCTTCTTGAATCCTCAGCAAAAGTACTGACGGAAATACACGAACAGACTAGAGAAAGAACTTCCCAAAATGAGCAGAAGGAACAAACCCTGTCCTGGGAAACAACACTGGGAATAGTTATTGTGCTGACTAGGAAAAATGTTTTACCTAGATGGTGCTTAGATGTTTCACAGGGTGAAGTGTATAATGGCCTCAACAGCGAGGTTAAGTTAGACATAAACTAACTATTGAGACCAACACTTAACTTTAAAAAGTGAGTCTCCTTCAAAGTATCAAACTATTTTAACTTAACTTTCATCCTAGAAAAAAAGCTTAAGAATACTTATAAGAATATAAAAATTGTCATCATCCAACAAGGTAAAATTCAATCCATAATTCAACATGCAAAGGAACAGGAAAGTAACAACCCATAATGAAAAGAAGAGCCAATTTATAAAATACCCCAGAATGACACTGATGGTACAATTAAATAAGCTCCTGATAAAGAAAAAATCTTAAAACCAGCCAAAGAAAAACAATGCCATACATACAGAACATAAAAAGATAAGGACTTTTTCACAAACAGTGAAATCCAGAAGACAGTGGCATAACATTACCTGTTTTATGAAAAAGATAAAAATGAATAAGAYTGTGAACTTAGAAATCCTGACCCAGTGAAAATATCTTTCAAAAATGATGACAAAATAAAAACTTCTCAGTCTAGGGATGTGGCTCAATGGTAGAATGATTGCCTGGCATGCACAAGGTCCTGGGCTAGATTCCCAGCACTACAGGGGGCATGGGGAAAAAAAAGAAAAAAGACCTCTTCACACATATGGGAACTAGAAGAATTCATCAGAACAGATGTGCTCTTAAAAAAAAAAAAAAAAAGAAAAAAGAAAGTGCTTCAAACAGAAGAAAAATTATTCCAGATGGAAAGTTTAATCTACACAAAAGAGAGAATCCATGATGGTAATTATGTGAGTGAGTGAATAGGAAGATTTTTCTTCTTCCTATTCAAATCTCTTTAAAAAGCAGCGATAATTTAAAGCACAAGTAATAATAATGCATTGTGGGTTTTAAAATATACATACTTTTTTTTTCTTTTTTTTCTTTTTGGTACCATATGTCAAGGTCATTGTACTGTCATGTGTAACTAATTAAAACAAATAAAATGCTTCCCACCTTCTTGAGGACAATAGTCCCTTGTTTTGCTCAATTCTAACATATACTAATTCCAGTTGCCTTATCTTAGTTAAATGCCACCAGTCCTTCAATAACATGAGCCAAGTTTGATGATGGTATATTAGGTCTGAGAAACTACATAATATACAAACTTTCCTGCTAGCTCTTCAGCCCACAAAGCAGTAGATAAAAAATTCAATTCACATCATGGAGGGTGACTTATCAAGTCCTTTCTTTCAAATGGTACAAAGGGGCACAGGAAACATTTGGGGGTGACAAATTCCTTTCAATCTTCAACTCAGAATACCACATTTATTAAGCACCTTCTGAATCCCTGATGACTATCAGTCACTACAGTAAGAAAAAGTGCTGTCTTGTCACAATTGYCACTTGCCTTTTACTTTCCTTTTAACTACCGTATCTAATTCATGTTCTGCTAGAGTAACAGAAAGAGAATAATTAACTTGAAGACAAAGTAAAAATGTGTTTTGTCTGATATATGTAAGCTAGAGAGAAAAAAGGAAAATAAGGGACCTCATGAAAACAGAAGGGAGATGGAGTTAGAGAAGATAATGCTAAGTGAAGTTAGCCAATCCCCCAAAACCAAATGTCAAATGTTTTCTTTGATATAAGGAGGCTGATTCATAGTGGGATAGGGAGCCGGAGCAGGGGAGGAATAGAGGAACTCTAGATAGGGCAGAGGGGTGGGAGGGGAAGGGAGGGGGCATGGGGTTATTAATGATGATGGAATGTGATGATCATTATTATCCAAAGTACATGTATAAAGACACTAACTGGTGTSAATATACTGGGTATACAACCAGAGATATGAAAAATTGTGCTCTATATGTGTAATAAGAATTGTAATGCATTCTGCTGTCATATATAAATAATAATAATAATAATAATAATAATAATAAAAACAGAAGAGAGACCAGTAGACTAGAGGAAGGGATGGAGGAGGGAAAGTAAAAGGGGAATGAGGAGGAATGAAACAAACTAAATTATGTGTTACACATATAAGAATGTATCATAATGAATCCCATTGTTATGTATAATGATAATGTACCGATAAAAATACTTTTCAAAAAGACTGGCTTGAATTCAACTTGAGTAGTCTTGAGTATTCCTTGACAGAATCAAGACTTCCTCTAACAGCATCTGTCAATCAGAGAAAAGGTATCCAATTCTGTCTCCTACCGCTTTCTTTTGTTAGCTGGGGCTTTCCGGTGTTCTCTCAGCAAAAGGAAAAGCCAAATCATGTGGATGTGAAAGACAACCCAATAATAGCCATTTTACTCAAGCTGTAATTCAGCCCCCAAAACAGTGGCCTTTTCACTGGAAAAGAATAGATAATATTTTATTCTATTTGCCTAATTTGGGTTTACATAACAACTTTCACTAAATAACCATTGTCATTAAAAAATAAAGATGAGAAAGTCATAACAAAAAATTATATTCTTCCATTAAAGGAAATCCATTTTCAATACAACAACAAAAATGTTTGTTTTTTTTTTTTTAGTATATGAAATATTTTTCTTGGGAGTGCTCCATCACTTTTATCATCATCCCAAGATTACAATATCACTGTGTTAATGTTTCAGTTTGTGCCATAATAATACTCTGCCACCTTCCCCACAAGGATATAATGTTTGGCCAATACAAATCTACCAAAAACAAAAAACTCAAATGCTTGAAAATATACTAATAGTTCTGTCAGGTAAACTAGGATCCTACAAATCTGCTGAGAGAAGCCAAATGCCTACCCCTTCCATAAAATGATCACCAATTCAGATTTTCTTATAATTATTTCATGAAAGGGGACAGAGTTTAGTGTTAGGAGTGGAGAAGGTAGGAATGGTAATCTGCAAAACCAAAGCCAGAACAGGAAATGTTATTTTTCCTCTTAAAAATGTATATATTTCCATTTCTTTAAAATATAATAGTTTTGTTTGTTGTTGTTGTTTTGTTTCTTAGTTCATACCATGCCTGATCTTGGAAACACAATAGTTACCAAGATAATTTACATGTTCATTAAAAAAAAAAAAATGAAGGATTAGGAATAGACCACTTGCCCAGTATGCAAGAAGCCCTGTGAGTTCGATCCCCAACAGCAAGGGRAAAAAAAAATATATTTTATATACAGAGATATGAAAAATTGTGCTCTATATGTGTAATAAGGATTGTAATGTATTCCACTGTTGTCGTGTATTTAAAAAAAAAAGACAATTTTAACCAGTCATAAAAAAATGCTAACAATGTTATAAACTTCCATCCAGTCTTTTTATTTATTTTTCATTAGCAATCAAACTGAAATACTATTTTCTTTATAATCCTGTTTTGTCCAATTATATGGTATGCATTTCTCCACATGATGTCTTCAATAGAAAGATKTATTTGTGTCAATATAATATTTCATTGTGATTGATTTAACTATTTCCCTCATACTAGATATTTAGGTTATTTCTAATTTTTTCACTACATGAATAATATAATACCTATGAATTCAAATCTTTACTTGCCTCATTGTTTCCTTGGAGTAAATTCCTGAGAAATGAATTACTAAATCTAGAGCATGAACACTGTAAAACTTTTGGAACTTTTTTTCTAAATATATTTTTCCTGCCTTTCTCACTCCCTCATCAACACTTCAATTTTGTACAAGGTTTTTAAACTGTTAGAAAAACAATAGTATCTTATTGTTTTATTTTGTATTTTATTACACATAAAGTTGATTATTTTCTCAGATACTTATTACCTCTTTGTATTTTCTCTTTTGTAATGCTTAGTCATATCTTTAGCCTATTTTTCTATCACTATATTGGCTTTTTGTGTATTTGTAAGGGCTCTTTATATAATAAGACTATTTGTCTTATGTTGTAAATTTTTTCTTTATAATCCTTTAAACTTTTTAACTCATTGAAGGTTGACATCTTCAGATAGGTAAGTTTATCTGTTTTTCTCTGGGTGGTTCTTTCCTTGTGTATATTTACAAGGTCCTTTTTTCATCCAAGTTAAGATAGATATTTACTATTTTAGGGGAGGGAGATTATGACAAGAGATGTGAGAAAATAATACGAAAGGAGCCTCTCAATGTGTTGACGACCTTTTCTAACTAAATGAGCCCTCGCCGTGCTTCATAATCACTGGAATTGGGCAGCATTTAGAAGAGGTTGATTTAAAAACAAATACCCAATTCCATGGCATGTGCCTACCTCAGGCACAGTACGTTTGGCTCCAAGCCCCTGTAGTTTACATCTAGTGACTCCAGGTCCAAGGCTTCTCCACCATTTCCAAGAAAGAACTCTTCTCCCTCCTCGCAGTTGTAATTTGGCCCACCTCTAAGACCCCTTTGCTTTACAATGCTACCCTACCCCGGCCCCGCAAGCAGCCTCTGGCGTCCAAACACGTTACCGCAGCCAGGCCTTTGCAGACCCAAGGCTCCAGGTGCCCAGGTCAAGAGACCTGCACGCGTACCCAGGTGCAGAAGCTCCTTCGCGATGGCCTTTCCGATGCCGGTGGCCCCGCCGGTGACGATGGCCGTTTGGTTCCGCAGCAAGCCAGGAGCCAGGCAGCTCTGGCCCTTTGTCCAGGAGCCCATAGTCCCGGAGCGTCAGAAGTGTAGCGCCCGCCGTGCTGCGTCAGCTTAGTTACCCAGAGGTGGGCGGGGCTAAGGGCCCGGACCCACGTGATCATCAAATCCCGCCCCGCCCCGCCCTGGCCCCGCCCCCAAGGCGGCAGCCTGGCTTTCTCTCCAGCTGCACGCTCTCCTGCGACCGCCTCCAGCAGTTAGCATCCTCCACCAGCTTGGGTCCACAGGCACTTGTGAGTGAGATTCCTTTTTCTTTCTTTCTTTTTTCTTTCCTTTTTTTTTTTTTTTTTTAAATCTCGATGGCATTGGAGGGGAAGGGAAATACACACACACACATACACAAAGCGAGTGTGTGCTGTATTTTGAGAATTTAATCCTCGGGGCCATAGCTCTCCTGGTTAATTAAAATTAAATCTCCAGTGCATCTGGAAAAAAGAAAGGCTGCTGCTCGCGGCCTTGGATGCGCCCACCAGCGTCAGACATCAGGCTGGGCTTCAGCTAATGTGTGCCACTGGCTGGGAAAGGAGAAGGGTAGGTAGGGGAAGGAAGTGCAGCTTCCAGATTCCTTCAGCCTCAGGGATGGAGCCCAGGGAAGAAAGGTGGGGAGGGGGGTGGCAGAGAAGGTAAGRTTGCAGTCATCCACAAAACCAAGATAATAAATGATTTAAAAAATAAACTCAGGCCCACTTCCACCTCATCTCCCACGCCCCACCCAGGAATAAAAAACAAAAAGTCACCTCTAACCAGATCTGAGGTCCGATCATATCAGTCGGGCTATGTAACAAGTCAAAAGGGGAATCTTTCTTTGGAGGATGCATGCTTCCTGCAAGACTCATCTGTAGGTTTATGCTTGAGTTCCTGTCTTCTAGTTCATTCCCTACAGAAAGACTGCTGAAGATGGGGGGAATTTCTCACTGTGTGTTGATGTTCAGTAACAGGATTTTATTATTCAGATGCTTCTCCTTATTTTCACCTTAAGAACTTGGCAGGTCTGTTGAATGTGTCAGGTGCAGTGATCTTAGACTAGACAAAATGCTTTTTCTAAGTCTGTTGTTATAATGCAGTATTTTTCCTGCCAGGTATAAAAATCATGTAAAAGCCAGCAGATGCCATCATTTTGTTGTTGTTGAGCCCACTACTTAAAATTCACCAAGCGAATTGAAAATGGGTCTGATTAAGAATGGAACCAGACATCACTTCCTCCCCTGGGTTCCTCCCACCAGYAAGACTGCAGTTCTTGTTGGACAATCACACTTCCTCCCTGTTCTACCCTCCCCTTGCCCTTCTGTGACCTCCTTTAGAAACACTTCCCCTCTGTCATTGTTGCTGAGGGATTCCAGTCTATACTCATTGAAGAAAAGAAGAAAGCTCTTCTGGTTCATATTGACTAGAGAACTGAGTGAGGAATCACATACCCTTTTACRTAAGTCAGTTATGTAGATAGGACAAAAAATTAAAAATTACACCATTGCCACATTCTTTTTTTTAAAGTAAAATAGGAAAGTCCAAAGTATTGTAAAAGAAAAGCAGAATTCCTGGTGCTTTAATCTCACTGATCAAGTTTTGTTCTTTGGTTGGTTTGTCGTGCTGAGATTGAACCCAGGGCCTTGTAAATGCTASGCAAGTACCACTGAATTACACCTCCAGGCCCCAGAAAATGTTTTGTAAGCAGAAAAAGAAATATTGTCTCAATTCTCAGGGTTATGAAAAAATTCAGAATTCTGAGAAAATTCAGTCTTGCTTTCTTTTGGGTAGGAGCACTTTAAATTGCCTTTCAAAAATTATTTTTATTTTGTTAGTGTTTTGGTTTATCTCACAGATAATGTCATTGAAGGTATAAGGTATTGTGGTTTTGGGCCTGACCTGTGGATTCTCAGAGATGTGTCAGGGTGGATCATTGCATGTACAATGCAGGACTGTGTGGGCCTGGTTTATTACAGCCTCTGTGTGGTCACTGAGTGAACTGTGAGAGGGAAACTGCCATCTTCCAGTGAAAAGATGACTAGGAGCCAGTGATGCCTACGAGGATGACAGATGTTTTTCCTAGCTACAGGGAAGTTGCAGGATGAGCAGTAAGAAAGCTCTTTTTCATAATCTAGGTAAGACTTGTGATTGAGATGTGGAGTCTCTTCAAGGGATCTGTTGTTTAAAATAAGGAGGTATGGTCTCTTTGCCTGTGCCTCTGGTCTCAGGGTCTAAAAATCTGCTACCCACCCCAAAAGCCTGTTGGCACAACAGTTCTACTTGGAAGCTCTGCTTTCAGATTTTAATTCTGGCCCCCAGTTGAGCCTTCTCTTCTGAGGACCACCATGCCGCATATCCTTCAGCGACCACTCCTATGGCTGAATCAAACACTGCTCTTCCCTGCGCTGTTCCACATCACTGCCCCCTTTGTCCTGGGGGAAAAGGCATGCTGTAACTATGCTCCTTCCACATCCCCTGCTACCATCACCCCTTAGCAATGACTCCCTTCATCTTCTGTAAGGCTCTTTTTGTAGGGACAGATGAGGCAAGACACCAACGATGGCAGGAAACAGTTTCATTTGGTTGCAGCCAAGTTCAGAGGGCACAGCTTTTTCTGTAATCAATCAATTAATCCCCTGAACTCCAAATTCAGGTAGTTTCAGAGTTTTATACCCAGCATGTAAGGGGAGGGGCTCAGAAGTTCACAGTCTGCAGAAGTTCACATAAAAGCAGCTTTTTCACTGTATTGGGCAAGTTAACCCTTCAAGGACAACACCTGAGAAGGGGAGAGCTTCTTCTCCCCTTTCTTTCCTCCCCCTGCCAGATGTTACCATGGAGCCCAATTGGTAACTTCTCTTATCTTAGAAATGTAGACATCTCTGTGAAGCCCCAGCTCAAGGCCAGAGGCCTTGTTTGCACATTTCTACAAACTACTATACTGGATACATTTGTGAAAAACTAGTAAGGGGGTGTCCAGCACCTGGAGTGCTGATTTCTTCTTGGCCAGTGGTCAAGCAAGATAGGGCAACACGAAAATAGGAAGTTTATCTACATTGAACTCTTTTGCAGAGACTCTTTTGCTGAYAGTCCTAAAATCAGCCATGGTGAAGATTTCTGGAGAAGCCCAGTTAAGACTTTTCTGTGGAGAAAGGGGGTGCCACTACACTCTTACTGCTCACCCATCTCCTCACCCCTCCTCCACCCCATCTGCCTGGTAACTTTATTTTCTTCCCTCTGCAAAGCAGCTGCTATCTCAGACAGACAGGAGCCTGTGGGATTCTCAACATGTAGACTCACAGAATCTCAGTGCTGAAGGAATGCCAGTGAGGCACCTAGTTCTGTCGCTGCCTTGAAGCTAATCTACTCCTGAGCCAGCTCACATGAATACGACTCAACCAGTTCACAATGTTCAGCCAATATTTATTGAGCACCTACCATGTACCAAGTACTGTTCTAGGCAGAGGGATACAGTACAGTCGACCAGACATTTTCCTGTCTTTGTACAGCTTATGTCCAGCATGTAGGGATTCTGAGAGTGGGAGTGAGAGGTGGAAGGAGTATGTGTGCCATAAGAGGTAGGACAATAACCAAGCAAAATAGATCAGAGACTGAAGATCAGGTCTTACAGCTCTCACAATAAGGAGATGTTTATGGTCCTTTTAACCAAATACCTTTGCTGCTGGGAACTGTTTCTTCTATGGACACTCAGGAGCCGTGACCCTGCTTCAGTGTGAGAGCCTTTCAGCACCACATAGGCTGTGCAGTGATGAGAGAAATGCTGCCCAGAGGATTTGCAGCAACTGGCGGGGGGCTGGGAGTTTGAAGGTGCTGCTCTGCTGCAGTTCCAATCACTTGACACAAGTCCAAACCAGATTCCTTTCCACCTTTACATCAAAGAGACTGTCTTTCTGAGAGGAGATAATGGTAATTTTCAGTGGTAAAATGGTAGCTTTATTTCCTAGTTGGTAGCAAACCTAATGGTGGTAAATTAAGATGTAATTAGCATAATCTGCCCATCCCATATGGGTGATATGTGGTCCTTTTGAGTGACAGACACACAAGTCAGTGAAGAGTTGAAAGAACAGCAGAACTAAAGGCATAATTCATGTAGTGACAAATTAACTTCAAAATAACAAAACTCCACCCTTGCAGCTCTGGTTGTTCAGATTCAACATGGGAAAGATGCAGAAAGTCAACTCCTAATGTTCTTAACCCACTGGAGCAGGTACACCCTGATTTGGAAACAGTTGGACAAAGGTTACTAATTGGCAGCCCATTTATGTTTTGTTTTGGTTATTTGTACACATAGTAACTTGCTTAAATTTGGTCTAATTGCAACAATTAAAATCAAAATTTTACATGAAATTTCAGACAACCCATACCAAACGGGCCTGCCTTTCTCTATGAAAGGAGTGGGCTGAACAGTAGATGTGGTGGATAAAAGGGGAACAGTAACTTCCTGCTTTAGATGAGACTTGAGATCTTGTATTTTCCATAAGCCCTACCACTTGCTATTGTGTCTGCAAGGCTTGGCGTCACTACCTTTTACTAGCTTATTTCAGCCATACTTCCACCACATACATTACTGCTACCTTGCAGTGAATACAAAAGCAAAGGCTTCAGAACTTCCTGGCTTCTCCACCCACCAAATCCACAAGTTCTGCTGAGTATTTGGATGTTCTACTGCATTGAGTAGCTAGGAGCAGAAGGATGTGAGCAGACACTCCAGGGAAACCATTCCTGGTAGTGGAAGGTTATGAAGGTGCAGTGAACCCCTCTGTGGATTGGCCATGGAGATTAATGACTGAGTGACTGATTGGATAGGACCTGGACAGCAGAGACTAATGACCAGACTTCCTCTTGATGACTCAGTTCTATAAAGATGGTATAGCTGGGCAGGCTTACTCATTTTGTGGTGTTGGGAATTTTGAGATTTTTACTGAATGTAAATATCAGTTTCTTTCAAATGTACCAAAACTTCCTTTTGGTACATTGCTGGCCATCTCATTATTAGCAAAGACTAGTATCATATACTGGACCATATTGAACTTTCCGGTGAGTCTCTAATGGATCTTGAGCCAGTAGCCATGTAATATTC